CACTGAAGAACACCGGGTGAAGGCCAAGGCTGTAATCACAAAGATACAAGCGAGTTCTTATCACTGCTATTTTCCAGCTGGATGTCTCTGCGCTGAAACCCCATCATCATGCAGCGCACTCGGCTGTGTCTCTGATTGGATAATGACTCATATGTAAATACAAGGCCTATTTACCAGTTTCTCTCTCCTCAGTCAAAGTTGTCAACCTTCTTTCCCTTACCACAAATATTAACACTTAATGCTGGACTATCTAAAATAAAATTCCCCATGAGTAACAGATGTTGTTTGTCCCATTCGAAAGAGCACAAGTCTTCGTCTTGTGGAATTTCTGTGCGAGCTGAGAACAAAGACAATGTAAACAACCAAGAGCTGTAATACAATCAAAGTGTGGGTTTATTCATTCGTAAAATTGCACCTATTCAATGAGAAGGGGACCACATGACCCATCCCACCTGGCAGTGCTCTGAAACCATCTGCCCTGAATGAGGAAAATACTAGATGCATTGACAAGAGTAAACAAACTCTCCTACTCTAGATATATAAACAGTTGATGACATTATTGACACTTTCTTATGTGATATTCACATCTGCTCTGACCTGGAACATGCTGTCGACAACATGGATCTATCAGCGGACTTACTGCCAACAGAACAACACATAATATGTATTCTATTTGAATCAAGATTTGAAGATTAGTTACTGACTTACTCTTATAATTATTCTAAGTAATTCCGTTATCTTACTGATCAGATTTCTACAACAGTCTTATTAGAATACATTGTTTGTTTGGCAGACGTGTCAGTCATAGTGACTTAATGAGAGAGTATTGTTCCCTCTTTTTTACTTGTCTGTCTGAAAAAGCAGATCCAAAGATGTGACACATCTTTTCATCTAACTAACCAGGAACTAGACGGATACATTTTATTACATAATTTGTTGTTAAAGTTATGTACCCCAGCTTTAATTTTACCCCTGTGCATCATATTTTAAAGCAATAATAATAAACGGGTTAAACTACTACTACTAATGTACACACTGAGTTCTCCCTTTCCCCAGTATAATTGTGAGTTTTCCTACTTTATACTACTAGACACTATTCTGGTCACATGTGAGTGTCTGTGCCTCGGCATAGACCATTAACTGCATGGGCATTTGGCCTGGATTCGTCAGGACTGGGGTCACAAGGAAGTCATGCTCTGGAAGAACAGAAAAAAAGCAGTGAGAGAGGAACTAGACTTAAGAAAGTCAGTATGACATGATAGAACCTGGTCGCTGGAGCAGTCTGACCAGTCAAGTGTGTCAGGAGAGCATAGACAGGGGCGCCCCGGCTTCACAGATCAGATAAATAGAATTAAAAAGAGAAGAAACACAAAGACAAAACACAGCAGGTAAACTGTGATACACATCACCAAACCTGCCAACGTGCTGCCAATTGGAAAGACATGTCTAACAGACAGGCCCAATAAGCAGATTAAGCTGGTACTTAGGGCCCCAAAGCACCAGGGATGTACCAAAAACTGTATTCAACAGTTAGACTGGTATCAGCTGCAAAAGAAAAACTAACCATTATTTTCAGTTTTGTTACAGCTGGGTTTTCAATTTCATATTGTACTACAGACAGTGATACGCATTGGCCCCTGGAATTATGTTGTTTTGCTATGGGCCCCAAAAAGCCCTGGGCCGGCACTGCTATAATGATAGTAATACTAATTAATAATAAACCTGTGTACATGTGTAAGTGTAAGAGTTGTGGATTTAACTCATGTTTTGAGCAAATAAATAAATAAATACTAATATTAAAGGTATATTCGAAGAGTTTCCCAAAGTTTTAGGAAATAACCCCCCTCTCCACTTCTTGAACAAAACTCTCTGGTCTTATTTAACGAGAACGTACAGTATGACCAGAATGATTGACAAATGGGAGGACCAATAGACCTCCTGTATACCTTTAAATTCTTGATTACGTGAAACAATCATTTGATTTGCGTTGTGCGTGACATAACTTGAATGAGTGAATTGCTCAAATAATCACTAAAATGTAGTTCAACTGTTTTGTTTGAAGAAAATATGCCAACCCTTATTTTTGACCCGCCACAGTGAAGTAAAATATATATATTTTGAGCTGAAATTTGATGATTTTTCCCAACTTGACCAGCCCTGAGTCATTTAGACCCTTTTAGACCTTAATATAGGGTATTTTCTTGTACTATAAATCCCTGTGGTGGATCGAGTTTGACCCTAGGATAGCACAAGAGATTATGTCAATGATTATCTGTTCAAGATGTTTTCCTTTACTTTACTTTTCCATTTTCAACTCATGTATCCATAACAAACATGTACATACATTCAATGAAACAAAATAATCAACCTTTAAATGTAAATTCAGTAGAGTACGCCTACATTAATGTTTGTTTTGGTTGAGAGGAAAAATCAGTTGATCAGTTTTATTGATAATTGAAATCATGGATAGTGAAGTGTTCAGGGATGTTGAGATTTAGCAGTGAAAATGTTGAAACACATTTTTTCCCTCCATTCAAATTATCCCTCCCACTCTCATTCATGACCCAATGACCGATTTTAATGAATTATGTAACTGAATCATACTGTGAGCATATCAAGTTAAAAGGCTATCTTCCTAAAAAAAACACACACAGACAGAATAATTAAATAGTCCCTCACATCTTTTTGTATAATTGATTTTCTCCTTTTTGATTTGTCAGTATTTCCTTGCATTGAGTTTTTCCATTAGATCCTGTTATCGGGGATTTAGCCCTGTGATCCCGGCATCAATGATGTTTAAAGGCAGGATGCATTGATTTGAATGGTAATGTGCATCCGTCCGTCTTAAGCTCTGACCCTCCTTTAAATGTAGCTGGTCCACTACATCTGATCCCGGATCTGTGGCCCTGCCCTGTGCGGGGCCTGTGCGGGGCCTGGTCCACGCTGCAGCATGTTCAATAATGCAGTGATGTGAGAGGGCGACACGAGGACACTACATAACCGCAGAGACAGAGAACGGCTCTGGGACCAGCCAATCAGCAGAATCAAATTACTATAGATGAGAAAGATAATGAGAAATAAAACACAAATTACATTGCTGGCACGTAAAGTAAACAAATAAACAAACCTCTTGAAACGAATGAACCATGTTGTTTATACAAGAGAGCAGCACCATACAGATATAATGTCATTTTGTGAAGCAACTTTGCAACTGTATTGTTAACATTTTGAGATAATCTGGGTGCAGTGACCTCACATCTCAACTGGAGGGTGCTGCAGGACTTTCGGGAGATTCCTTCACCTACACTGAGTTCCCGTCATAAGTTATTGTAATACCTGCATATATCCCGCTGCTTGCTGTTAAACAAGTCTAATTATTTGAGAAAACACTTGCTCGTTCTGTAATTGTTTTGATAAATGCAGAATTTAGGTAAGGCAAGTTTATTTGTATGGCACAATTCATACTGGCAACTCAAAAGGTTTACAAAACAAGAAATGATCAATCCAAATCATTCAAATAAGCCTGAAAATCAATAGATGGACAAATAATCACTGTACAGCACAAAGTGGGTGTAGATACTGTAGAATCGTTCAACTGTATGCACAATTGTTTGAAAACCTAGACTTAAACATTGCCAGGGTGAGTGTAGAAGCCAAGAGGATATCTGGGAAAGTTTTCAAAATCAGCCTTCCCTCCACCATTTATTTTTCTCTCAAGTTTCATGAATGCAGTTTGAGAGCTTTCGTCACTCCCCGTTTGACTAAGTTGAGATTCCATCACCTACAATGATTTCCCTTCATAAGTTATTATAATACCTGCATACAGTATATCCCACTGCTGGCCATTAAACAAGTCCAATTATTTGAGAAAACACTTGTATTTCAAGGTTTTTTTGTGTTTTAATTGTTGTCATAAATGCAACAATATGTATCCAAATCGCTCAAATAAGCCTTAAAATCAAAATCAATGGATGAAAAGATATTCACTGTATATGTAGCCCTGTGTAATATTATTACATACCATAATAGTTGCACCCCATAGTTTTATTTTATAACCACCGTTTTATTGTACATAATTTTGAAATGCAACGCTTGGTTCCGCCAGCAGAGGGCGCTTGGTGCTTTCACTTGTGGTTGCTGCCGGGGCAACGCTAGAAGTACAGTTAGTACTTAACGTGATGAGACTGCACCGAGTGAGCTCCTGCATTCAATGTCTGTTTTACGTGTTTTGCAGGTAGGCTGGTTTGTTAAAAACACACAGATGATGGCTAACAGTGGTGACATGTATTGTGTACAGCTTTGAGTGCCTTTGATTGAGCTAAAGGGGCAAAAGGGATACTTTGGGGTGATTGTATCTGTTGGGGTTGCCGCGAGTCAACAGTGTAACCGTTGGTAGTCGCGAGTCGCGCTGTATTTTTTTGTTAGAATTGTATATTTGATAGTGGTTAAAGATGGCTCAATGTTAACATGTTTCTTAAGAGTCAAACTGAATTTAGAGTTTATTTAAAATAAAACACGGGTCCTTTGTCAAGGTGAGATAGGTGGACTTGCATGACTAATGTGATAGGACAGAGCGTATTCTCCATACAATGTGACTTCATACTGGTAATGACATGATTGTGAGCTGGGAAATATTAGAACAGTATCTATAATTAATAATATTGAGAGGAATGTGTTTTTTTTGTGTGTGTTTTGATCATATTGCAGATAGAGATTTCATTACAGTATTTATGTGTGTAATTATACTTAAATGTATAGGAGAAGTACAGTTAGTACTTAACGTGATGAGACTGCACCGAGTGAGCTCCTGCATTCAATGTCTGTTTTACGTGTTTTGCAGAGCCTGAATTAAATTTTAAATGTGCTGCACATGAATGAGTTGGCCCATCATTCAAAGAAGTGTAACATATTTTGGCGAGCCAGCCAGAAGGAGGCGATAGTGAGTCACCGTCACGACCCTTCCTCCTTCCCAAGAGTCGAACCTTATTCTTCAAGCAACTATGGAGAAGATACAATTACTGCGTGACCAGTTGAGTGCAGCTTTATGGCAGCTGGAGCGAGACCTTCTCATCGATGTTTGTGGGCGACTGAAATGTTACGGCCTCAGCAGCGGAGAACCTCCCAGAGAGACAAAAAGGGCACTCATCAAGATGGCAGAGGACGTTTTTGATGAAGTCGAGAAAAAGGATAAAGATGATGAGGTAGAGCAGTTCTACATTGAATTGAGGACATACATTGGGAAACTGAATAAAAGTACAATTCAGTCAGATGTAAACAAGCAATCAGAACTCTTACCAGAAGAAGAACCGGTCAATGCCACTCCACCAAAGATTTCACCTCCACCACTCCGATTTCTCTCACAGCCAATAAACAACTTACAAGAGGTAACACTGAGAAGGGAGTTTAAAGAAGCTATACCCGATTTTTTTTCTAAGTAGTTAATAAAAATGCTTTTTACTACATACAAGTTGTATCATAATACATAATTTAATTGAAAACTTGAGGTCATTGATTCCACTGGCCAGTATTTTTGTCATGAAAACGTTTACAGCAAATTCTGAAATCGTCCGTGCATGTGTGTTAAGGATGTATATGTATACTGTATTGTCCGATTGACGTTTAATGGTGTTGATTGATTGATATGTAGCGTTATTTGTTTATTGAGCGTGGCTAGCTCCGCTAGCTTCTCTACACAGACAAGTGTGCAGAAAAACTGCACAATGTAGTGCGCGCTGATAGCTTGTTGTACTTGCAAAGTAATGGCAGTATTTTACACTCCTGAATTACAAACAGAGATTGCATTGGGGCTGCGGTCATTATTGGTTTGAGAGTTCTGTTATCAAGAAAATGATCGGAAGAATTGCATTCAAGTCAATGGAGTGCTGCTGCTGCTGTGAGGAGCTGTATAATAAATTATAATTAAATATTAGAATATATTCTAATGTTTAAATTAATACATCCGGACGCGAAACTAATGGTATTCTTTTACTTATATATTGTGTTAGCAGTGCATTGCTTTAGTGCCATTTCATCAGTGATTGTTGCACAGCTTACAAGTTGCGCTAATGCTAATGTTAGCATACGTATCAGATCGCAAATAAAACTAGGTGGCTCCGTGGGATGAGAGCGTAGGGGAAATGAGAAGCCATTGAGCGAGTTGGGGGGCGGTGCTAAACATTCAAACATTGTAGAAACGGGTATAGCGCCTTTAAGATAAGTGGGCAGATAGGGGAACATGGACAGAAAGAAAAGCTATCCTACCTTAGCCTTGTCCGCCAAATTGAGATGGGGATGGAAAAAGGACATCCAGAAACTGAAGTAGTTGAGGCAGTGATCAGAGCCATTAGCCCAGGCTTGCCTTATAAGAGATATGCTAGAGATTAAACGTGGACTGACCCTTAGTAAATTGCTCATCATACTAAAAGGCCACTACAGGGTAGACAGCTCCACCGAACTATACCACCAGCTTCTTAACATAACCCAAGAGCCTAAAGAGACTGCATTGAACTTTTTCTTTCGTGCTATTGAAATGAAAGAGAAACTATTGTGGAAAGTAGCGAACGAGGAAACTGATGAACTGTACAGTCGTGTCACCATTCAACGCAAGTTTCTACGCTCCATTGAAACAGGGCTGCTCAGTGATTCAATCAAGTACCAGTTGCTGCCTCTGCTCAGTGGTCTGGGCACGACAGATGAAGAACTAATTGAAAAAGTGAATGAAGTGTCAAAGCTTGAAAACGAGAGACTGGAGAAGCGTAAAAGAACAACTGCAGCCAAGATTCCCAAAGTACAGGAACTCCAAACAGAGTGCCAAGCGGACCCAATTCAGAGCCCCAAGCTAAGAGAATTTCAGACTACAGTGGATGTGAAAGCAGTTAAAGGTAGAGAGACTAAAAACGAATGTACAAACACACAGCAGATCATTGAGGAGTTGCGTAAAGAAATGAAGCAAATGTTCATGACTGCAATGGAAGTGAATCCCCGTCCATTAGGATCAAGGCAGAGGGAAAGAGGCTGTAGGAAATGCAGAGATGAGGGGCGCGGGGAAAACTGTGGACACTGTTTCAAATGTGGACAGGAAGGTCACTTCTCTCGTGGATGCAGAGCTCAAAGGCCCTCGGGAAATGGGGAGGGACTACTGAGACGGGACCAGCAGTAGTTCAAAACCCAGTGTCCCAAAGTGAGCAACGCCAAGGTGAGCAACGAAGTCCTCTTCAAATTTCCACAGCAACAACAAACAGTGCTCAGTCAGCCATAAGTGAAGTTCACTACCTGCCTCCTCAGCGAAAGTCACAGTTAATATGCCTTGTTGGTAACAGGTGTACAGTTAATTGTTATATGGATAACCACCCAGTTAAAGTGTTGTGGGATACCGGGGCACAGTCCAGCATAGTCAATGAAAACTGGCGGCAGAGATATCTTCCCCATACTGCTGTACGGCCCATTGCAGAGCTGTTGGACGGTGAGACCCTTACAGTATATGCTGCCAATGACACGCCCATTCCATATATTGGCTGGATTGAAGTCAGCTTCAGACTTGAGGGTGATGTATCCAGAGCAAGTGAGCTACAAGTGCCCATATTAGTGTGCAATGATCCAGCTGTGGCCAGTGATCCCATTATTGGTTATAATGTGATCGAGACTGTGATGAACAAAAGTGAAGTAAAAACTAAAGGGGGACAAAAACAGCTTGCACATAGAGTTAGTAAAGCTTTTGAAATAACAGTTCAAGTTGCACACAACATTGTCAAGTTGGTACAAAACAGCAGAGTAGAGACTGGTGTATTACGTATCGGTGTCAGAACCATCAAATTACCAGCTAACAAAGTCACCATAGTCTATATGCGGGCACATGTTAGTCCAGGGGCCAGAGGTCAAGATATGTTGTTTACACCTGACCCACCACCAGAGGGAGTTGTATACAATGATGCACTGGTTAAAATTCCTGATAAGAAAATGCCATATGTGCCCATTCCTGTAACAAACAGTGCACATCACACCATGTATTTAGCCAGTCATGAAGTAATTGGACACTTAGAGCCAGTCAAGACAGTTTATTGTGCAAGCATTCCAACAGGAGAATCAAACGAAGAGAAACGGAGTACAGGGTTCAAATCACACCAGTTGAGTCACACAGACAAGCGAGAGATAGAAGAAACAGAGAGACCAAAGTCATGGGATCCACCCGTTGATCTTCAACACTTAACACAGACGCAACAAGAGACAGCAAGGAAAATGTTGAGGGAAGAATGTGAGGCGTTTTCATTTGATGACGATGATGTGGGCTGCATACCATCTCTAAGAATGCACATAACCCTACATGACCCCAGTCCAGTACAAAAGACCTACATGTCTGTCCCAAAGCCCCTTCACAATGAAGTCAAAGAGTATTTGCAAGACCTGCTCAACAAAGGATGGATCACGCCCTCAAGGTCGCCCTACTCATCGCCTGTGGTTTGTGTGCGCAAGAAAGATAGCACTCTCCGTCTTTGTTGTGACTTTAGGGAACTCAATAGAAAATCAGTCCCGGACCGCCACCCAATACCTCGGATTCAGGACATGTTGGATGCGTTAGGTGGGAGCTCATGGTTTTCAGTTTTAGACCAGGGAAAAGCGTACCACCAAGGTTTCCTAGATGAAGACAGCCGCCCGCTAACAGCTTTCATCACACCCTGGGGACTGTATGAATGGGTGCGCATTCCATTCGGCTTGAGCTCCGCACCTGCTGAGTTCCAGAGGAGCATGGAACATTGTTTGGCTGGTCTCAGAGACACTACTTGCCTCCCGTACCTGGATGACAATCTAGTACATAGTAACTGCTTTGAAGATCATGTTGAGCACATCCGTCTGGTCCTCCAGCGTTACAAAAAGCATGGTGTGAAATTAACCCCAAAGAAATGTGAGCTTTTCAGGTGCAGTGTCAAATTCCTCGGAAAGCTGGTGACGGGGGAAGGCTATACCATGGACCCGGCAGAGATGGCGCCAGTGAGGGCTCTGAAAGAAAAGACACCGGTAACAGTCGGAGAGGTACGTCAAATGCTGGGATTCCTCTCATACTACAGGCCCTTTATCCCCAACTTTTCCCGTGTGGCCCATCCGTTGTACAGCCTGCTCAGTCCTCCAGCTCCTGTTAATGACACTCCAATCCGAGCAGAGAAGTCAAAAAAAGGGGTTATCAAAAAAAATAAAGGCCACTTACCATCACGCACTCCCATCCAATGGACTAGCTCACACCAGGAAGTGCTGAACCAACTTATAGACGCCCTTACCAAACCCCCAGTCCTCGGATATCCAGACTTCACCCAGCCTTTTGTGTTACACTGTGATGCCTCACAAGTTGGTTTAGGTGCTGTCTTGTACCAGAGACAACAGGGGAAGATGAGAGTGATAGCATTTGGCTCTCGCACCTTAAGCCCTGCAGAGAAAAAGTACTACCTACACTCTGGCAAGTTAGAATTTCTAGCGATGAAGTGGGCCATCTGTGAACGTTTCCGGGATTACCTGTACCATGCTGTATCATTTGTGGTATACACAGATAATAACCCGTTAACATATGTGCTCACATCAGCGAAACTCAATGCAACAGGCCATAGATGGCTCGGGGAGCTGGCTGATTTCAACTTCATAATATGCTATCGTCCAGGCAAGAATAACGCTGACGCTGATGGACTGTCTCGCATGCCATTAGACATTGGAAACTACATGAATACGTGTACAGCTGAAATCACACAAGAAGCTATAAGTGCATCCATGGAATCTGTGACAGTGGAACAGAATGACCCCTGTCAGGGTGTGGGGGTAATCCAGGTCAGTGCTTTAACACTTATAAAGGACTCTAACACAAATACACCTCTCACCCCAAACCAGATTCGCAAAGCCCAAGAAGAAGATGACATTTTGGCCAGAGTCATTTGGCATAAGTCACAAGACAAGAGACCAAGTAGAGCCGAGGTAAAATCCGAGCCTCCTGCTGCCGCCTCACTGCTCAAGCAATGGTTAAAGCTTCACATTGATCCAGATGGAGTCCTACGCCGTAAAACATTGCGCCGAGAGCAGATACTGCTTCCTAAAATCTTTCGTTCCCTGGTCTACAAAGAACTGCACCAAGATATGGGGCACTTGGGGGTAGAGAGGACACTCGATGCAATCAGGGAAAGGTTTTACTGGCCACAAATGAGTAAAGATGTAGAACATTTTGTGACAGAAGAATGCGAGTGCCTCAAGAAGAAAAAGCCAAGTAAACAGACACGTGCACCCTTAAAATCAATCCATACTTCATATCCATTCCAGCTGGTGTCCATAGACTTTGTCCACTTAGAAAAGTGCAAAAATGGCTATGAGTACATTTTAGTAGTTATGGATCACTTCACGAGGTTTGCTCAAGCCTACGCTACAAGAAACAAAACAGCCAAAACAGTAGCTGACAAATTGTTCAATGACTTTGCGCTCAAGTTCGGATTCCCTACAAAGTTACATCACGATATGGGCAAAGAGTTTGAAAACAAGTTGATGGCAAGACTAAAAGAACTGTCAGGCATCCAAGGTTCTCACACCACGCCTTACCATCCACAGGGTAATGGACAGGTGGAGAGATTTAACCGCACACTGTTGTCCATGCTGCGCACCCTGGAGGACAAAGAGAAGGAAGATTGGAAAGAGTCACTTGCTAAAGTTGTTCATATGCCTACAACTGCACCAAAAGTGAAGCAACAGGTTACGCTCCATATTATCTTGTTTTTGGTCGTTCCCCCCGTTTGCCTATTGACATGCTGTTCAACATAAAAAAAGAAGAGTCCCACGTTGACTATAATGACTATGTGATTAACTGGAAAGAGAGAATGCAAGAAGCATATGACATTGCAGCAAAAACAGCTGTTAAAGAAGCAGCTCGAGGAAAGTCATACTACGACAAGAAAGTTAAAGGTAGAGATCTTCGGCCAGGTGATCGGGTTCTACTCAGGAACCTTACACCCAGAGGTGGGCCCACAAAGATTCAGTCCTATTGGGAAGATCAAGTCTACACCATTCGAGAGAGGAAAGCTGAAGATAGCCCAGTGTATCAAATAAGTCCTGAGAATGGTAGAGGGAGAGGCCGAGTTGTGCACAGAAATCTTCTTCTACCCTGTGACTTTCTTCCCTGTGAGAAAACACCAACAGCGACACCTGCTACATCCAAGAGGAAGTCCCGACCCCCACGGCGAGAGCAGCAGCCGCCCGAGTCTGGAGACACATCCGACGACAACGATTGCTGTGGAACTTACCAGTGGCACCTGCAACCCGGTCCGGGAAGATGGCAGCAGCAGCAGGCTCCACTCAATCCACTGGCGGTGTCCTTCCAGCCTCATCAGGACCCAGCGCAACCAGAAGAGGATTTGCCACTACAGAGCGAAGAGGATTTGCCACTACAGAGCGAAGAGTATTTGCCACTACAGAGCGAAGAGGATTTGCCACTACAGAGCGAAGAGGATTTGCCACTACAGAGCAAAGAGAACGTTCCAGTGCAATCCCTAATTGACTGGCCAGGGCGTGGTGAGTCCCCGACAGACAACGCTGCTGTCAGTGGAGGTATGACTGAGACACAGCGACCTCAACGACAGCGGCAGCCCCCAAAGGTACTGAGTTACAACACGCTAGGCCAGCCGACTCTAGTTCAGAGAGACAATAAGGTAAAGACTCAGGTTATTGCGACTGACTGTTTTTGGAGACCGTGGTCCGTCCAAGTGTATTAAGAGACTGTATTTATAGAAATGCCAGGAGACATTTTATTTTGTGGGGGAGAGTGTAGCCCTGTGTAATATTATTACATACCATAATAGTTGCACCCCATAGTTTTATTTTATAACCACCGTTTTATTGTACATAATTTTGAAATGCAATGCTTGGTTCCGCCAGCAGAGGGCGCTTGGTGCTTTCACTTGTGGTTGCTGCCGGGGCAACGCTAGAAGTACTTAACGTGATGAGACTGCACCGAGTGAGCTCCTGCATTCAATGTCTGTTTTACGTGTTTTGCAGGTAGGCTGGTTTGTTAAAAACACACAGATGATGGCTAACAGTGGTGACATGTATTGTGTACAGCTTTGAGTGCCTTTGATTGAGCTAAAGGGGCAAAAGGGATACTTTGGGGTGATTGTATCTGTTGGGGTTGCCGCGAGTCAACAGTGTAACCGTTGGTAGTCGCGAGTCGCGCTGTATTTTTTTGTAAGAATTGTATATTTGATAGTGGTTAAAGATGGCTCAATGTTAACATGTTTCTTAAGAGTCAAACTGAATTTAGAGTTTATTTAAAATAAAACACGGGTCCTTTGTCAAGGTGAGATAGGTGGACTTGCATGACTAATGTGATAGGACAGAGCGTATTCTCCATACAATGTGACTTCATACTGGTAATGACATGATTGTGAGCTGGGAAATATTAGAACAGTATCTATAATTAATAATATTGAGAGGAATGTGTTTTTTTTGTGTGTGTTTTGATCATATTGCAGATAGAGATTTCATTACAGTATTTATGTGTGTAATTATACTTAAATGTATAGGAGAAGTACAGTTAGTACTTAACGTGATGAGACTGCACCGAGTGAGCTCCTGCATTCAATGTCTGTTTTACGTGTTTTGCAGAGCCTGAATTAAATTTTAAATGTGCTGCACATGAATGAGTTGGCCCATCATTCAAAGAAGTGTAACATATAGCACAATGTTTTTGTTCAAAATCAGTCAAATAAGACCAATCCATAACCACAGCATGTTACACTTTTCAATCGGAATTTTTTGTTTTTTTTGTGAAAGGACGGGAAGCCCCCTTTTAGTGTTGATGAGGACTAGTTTGGCCCTGTGATGGTTCATGTAGAGAACAACAGCAGAGAGAGAGAGTTAGCCTTCCCTCCACCATTTATTTTTCTCTCCAGCTTTTTGGATGCAGTTTAAGAGCTTTTGTCACTCCCTGTTTTTTAAGTCGACTACATTTGTTTAGTTGTCTGCAGCTTTACCTGTTCTGTGTGTGATGTATATCTAAAGGGTGAATGGATCCTAGTGGCCAGATGTGTCTCCATGCTCTCAGCTCACACTGGTGTTTGAGTTATGAGTCACCCGTTGGAACAGAATGCAAAGCACAACATGGCCTTTCCTCTGCGCACCATCTGATGTACAGTGTTCTCATGGGGCAGTCTCTGAGTCTCTGGCCCTCTGGCATCTGATAAAATGTTTACATACAAGAACATGGCAGAACGCGTCAAAGAATAGATATCGATATTTCTGCTGCTGTTTGATGCCCGGACAGAGGACAGAAGAAAGGGTTTGTGTAAAAGGTTATCTTGGTCTGTCTAAACTGTGTCTATGAGCCTGCATACAGTTCAAGGTGTGCTACTGCCATGAGGTGTGGAGTGGCGCCCTCTGCTGTTCTTGGCGTCACACTACAGGTTTGATGTGTACTATAAGTTTTATCAAAGAAAATTGCAGTCAACACATGACTAAGATATATTTAGCTATGGTATAGTATTTTAGATATTCTCTACTATTATTTACTTGGTAAAATAGTTTAGCAGATAAAGGAAAACATATTAGATCAATTTAATATAAGAGAGAACCTTTACTATTTCCACAGTGGGGAAGTGTCAGTGTTGATTTTCTTGTTTTGGTTCAAAAACAAGATAAAAAGTTTAGAAAAGATAGAAATTCACTCATATTTTTGCAATCGACTTAAAACCACAACTACTCTCAACCTCCAATTCTACATGTATGTAATAATAATATTAAAACGTTAAAACATTCGGTTTTGTAAATTAAAGTATACTCAATAGTTTATGTTTACATTTAGATGAATCCTTGTTGAAACCTTTGTGTTACCTCATGCATCTGAGTGCAGGGTGGGTCCATTATGCGCCCACACAGAGATAAAGTGTCTCCCTTGGGTGCATCCATCAAACCCTTTGGCCTTGGGAGACTATGTAATAAGGGACCAGAGAAACTAGGGCATGTTCTGGCACAGGTGATAGATGATGCACCCAGATCAATGCAGGCAGCCAATCATAGCTCAATAAAACCCACATGAAGCAACAACAAGCTACTACTGCAAAACAGACGGATGGTGAATGGGAGCCGGCTGCACCTTTGAGCATCTAAAATTAATTTTGATGCTCCAAGATGACAGGTTGCCAGGAGCTGCTTGTTTCTATGGAAAGGTTATCGCTTTGTTTAAATGAAGACACATTTGTTGATTGTTGGCCTTTGGAACTTTTCAGGCCATGCAGAAACATTCCCAGGGAGGCAAGCAGGTGTTTGACCTGCCACCACAGGAAGGATAGAGCAGTGGTTCTTGCATCCATGGTTACGTTAAATGTCAGTTTAATGTTTTGCTGTATAACTTTTGAACTAAAGGCATATCAATCACAAGTTCTACATCTCTGTCTGTTTCCCAAAACATCTGCATCTGAAATTATATGCCTCCGCCTATTAGTTACCCCCTGTTAGGAAAACACTGACCGTTTATCCATATTCTTCTGTGTTAGTGCTTTTAACATTGTTTACCAACTCAACTCATTTAAACAGCCCAAACATCTGTACGGGGAGTGATACAGACTGATCATGCACTGTCAGACAGGAAGACTCCACCTCATCCACTGCCCCCTTGTAATGTGGTATCCCCCAGGGTTCCATTGTTGGCCTACTTCTTTTTCTTTTTTTTCCATTTACATCCTTCTGCTTCGGGGCATTTTTTTTAAACACAGCCTCGTTTCAATCTTTACACCGACGACTGCCAACTATATATGCCCCGTTCTAACAAAGCCCCCTGTCACCCCTGTCAGGCTGCTTTGGTGGCTCCAGAAGCTCCTCAGTGATAATGTCCAGCCCTTTGCTATCACCAGTCGTTACATCAGACTTTGTATTTTGTCCAAGGTAAAGCCCTTTTTAGTTCTGTAACACTTTTATTTATTTTCGTATGGATGGATTACTTTAATGCACTTTACACTGGCATCTTGTACACTGGACTTTGACGCAAACTAGTCCAGATGTTTGCACTCTAAACCATGTATTGTTTATGTTTATAAAAATAACTTCTAAAGGTTACATTTTAGTTTTTAGTTGGAGCTCTGGCTTCAAGTTAATGTTAGAATTGATTTTCAGATGTTATTATTATTATTATTATTATTATTGTTTATTTTTTACTTTAATGAACTAGCCCTATCTCAATTCTACACGTTTCAGTGATGTTGTCATGGTTTGCAGATAGAACCCCAAAAGCAGAGGCAGAAGGCTAAAGACTCTGATCAAGTTTATTAAAAATATTAGCAAGCAGTTGGGTTAGGGTTAGGGAAATCCACATAATACAGGTAAGATCAAAACATCTCAAGAGCTGGATGCACTACCGACTGAAATGGAATTATCTGGCAGAGAAGTTGTGAACAGAGCTGTCAGAGGCAAAGAGGAGGAGGTGCTGGTGTGTGTCGTCTGCTGTAAAGGTGAGGCCACGCCCCCTGCCCCACACATGCAAAACTAGAGGGGAGGGGGAGAACAAATAGCAAACCCTAAAAGTTTTCCTTAAAAAAAAAAAAACTAAAGTAATGTATCATTTTGCTTTTGCTCTATAATTGTCCCTCACTTTGTCTTTCAGGTATAATGCCAATATGATATGTTTGTGGTTGTACCAAGACAAAATGTGAAAAAATAAAAAAAGTTATGACACAGCAGAAAGGAAAAAGGTTGAATTGAGGCAAAGACAAAGAAATGGCTAAATAGACGCAGATGATTGGCGAGGATACATTGAATATTGTGTTGTGTGATTGCATATAGACAGGCTGCTTCCTATTTGGTTCATCCTGTTCTTGGCCCAATACTCTCAAGGCGTTAACAAAAGCTCTTGAAAGATCTGTCAGCTTTATTGTATGCAGCAGGTCGCCCTGGAGTAAGAATGCACATGCTCTCACAAAAGTCAATATTGCCCTTTCTACACTCTTTTTGTATTGGTTTTTTGAACTGCCGGCCAAACTTTAGGCAATCAAGAAAACTACACAATTATTGTTTTTTTTAGACTTAAACCTATATCAAAGACAGAGCAATTGCCTAAAAGTACCTTCCAATATAACTGTAATTTACAATGTTTATGTGAAAAGTATATGTTGCCTTCTGTAACTCCAGCTTACATTCTGCAGGAACTTTCAAAATGTTTGTGTTTGACCCTTGACTTTGTGCAAACGTGACCAGAAAGTACTCATTCATTGGAGCTGTCACAAATGGAAGGACTGGCGTTTCTCTGTGGTGCTAAACCTCTCTCTGACATGCAAAGGTCAGCAGCCACAGCGTAGCCTCAGCTCTGGTAGCACTTTGTAACAGGGCGTGAAGGATTTTCATCTGCCCCTGTGCCCTACTCATTTTTTTTCTTTGATCTTAGAAATAAAACCCTATAATTTCTAGATTAAAGTGATATTTGTGATTACTCTGACAATAAATGTGCAGATAAAAGGATAATAAAACAACCTGTACTCGCGTGGAAGGAGAATCAGAAGATGAAAGTATAAGCGTGTCATGAAGGCAGCAAGTATCAAAGCAATTTACTCTTGGGCGCATATGGGTCTTCCAAATAACCCCAAGAATATAACCCAAGAAGAACATTGATAACTCGAGTTATTTGACTTCTTGCAACCTTTTTGGTATAAAGTTTGTGGATTCTTTTTTCCGTATTATTGGTATAGAGGGAGACAATAGCCAACAGTTTGTCCCTCTCCAGTTGTGTGCTGCTCCTCAAGTACTTTTCTCAGCTTGGTCAATACAAGGTGCATGATAATGTTCTCCTGGCTGGCCTAATCTCACTGCTGTCCAAAGCGTACATCAATCTCTGCAGTAGAACATTTGAATGTATTAAATAAATAAATAAGCAAAAGATTTTCATGTTAAATATTTTTCCTCTTTGTTTTGCGGTCATAGCTGTACACTGCTTTCATGGTTTCTAGAATAGTAGTAAGCTTTATTTATATACCGCCTTTTTCACTGCACATCGGAGTCTCAAAGCGGTTTACAATTGTTGGGTGGGGGTGCCAGTACAGGAGGCACATGCCAGACCTATTGTACATATTTTTAGTGGTAGGGGAAACCGGAGCACCCGGAGGAAACCTACGCAGACACAGGGAGAACATGCAAACTCCACTCAGAAAGGCCCTGGTCCAACCGGGATTCGAACCCAGGACCTTCTTGCTGAGGGGCGAGAGTGCTATCCACTCAGCCACCGTGCCGCCCACTACTAATAACTTCTCATTCTCATTTGTAATATAATAAAAGAATCATTTGTATTTATTTTTGGCATCTATCAATTTTCTTCCAGTTTATCCATTCAAGGGTCATGGGGGGAACAATCTGAGCAGAGACGCCTAGACTTCCCTCTCCAAGCATACTTCCTCCATCCACTCGGGAGAATTCCGAGGCGAGAGACACAGTCCAACCTGTCCTGGGTCTTCCCAGGTTGAACTCCCCAGGGAGGCGCCTAGGAGGCATATGCAACAGACGCCCAGCCACTCTGTTGAGGAAACTCATTTCAACTGCAAGCAGTCGAGATTGACTGAAAGACAATCTCTGTGTGATTGTTTTTTTCATTACCCATCTTCATGAGCATCTTCTTCACCACAACAGTCAGATACAGCTGTTTATATGTGACACTCTATGAAACGCAGTAGTACACACTAGAACACAGTGGAACGCCTTCTCCAGATCCAGAAAGCAGACTTTAATCCCTCATGTTCCCTATTAATGTTATAAAGCTGGTCCCATGACAGGGATGTTCCTCCTGAATCCAAGAGATGTCTTCCAAGTGTCCTCTCCAGTACCTTGGAGTATACCTTACTGGGGAGGCTGTGGGAGATCTGGCGCTTCCATAAATTCGCCAAGCTGCTCATCCAGAGCCTGGCCAGGAAGGTCACTCAGGACTTCGGGACCAACCTCCATCTCTATGTGATGAGTCTGTTTGAGAACACCAACCTGTGCACCATCCACATCCAGAGGGTGACTAGCATGCCACCCTCTGGACCTGACCCGCTGACCCGAGCTGACCCGACACACCTGGAGAGAGGGCTTATAGCAGTGCCCTCATTCATAGGCTGTACTCCGCAGAACGGGGAGTGCTTTTTGAGACGTATCGTATCCTTGCTGCTGTCAGAGAGGATTTATCATGTGTTCAATTAGATTTAAATATTTGTGCCTTTATTTGTCAGAATCAGCTGCTGTTGGTCTCTTGAATTCAGCCATGTGGAATAAATGAGTATCTTTTTATCTATTAGTTGGCTTAGTATATAGAATTAGTACGTATGATTTGATATTTAAAACACCCCATCAAATTAAATGCTTGTTCAAAATGTCTATAAGACGCTGAGACTCGTAATAACAAGTGGTTCTGTACCTGCCACGAGTCAGGCCAAAAGGGCTGTTAATAATGAGAAAGTCTTTCATTGACCATATAATGAATGATATTTTAGTCTTAATGTGACCAATAATGTAGTAACTTTTGACCTTCCTGTTCAAACCTGACAGAATTGGTCAAAATTCCAGCCAACCATTGATCGAAGCTTGTATGCACAACATGTTTGACCTAAATGACAGTGTAAAGGAAATTGAATCAAAGGCGTTTTTCAAATGAAATTTTTCAAAAAATACACAATGAATGTTGTGGTTGTGGGTAAAAAAATGGTATGATTGTCCTGAAATGGTGTCAGATTTAACATTAAACAGTAAGAAAAAATTCCCTCTTAACCCTTTAGTTACCACTGTATGTAAATATATAAATAAAAACCTACAACAGTGAGCCAATACGTTTTCAGAATAAAAATAGGCGTACATGGAGAATACATTGTATCTGGCAACACAACTTCTATTGAAAGTCCAGATTTGTTTAATCCATAAAACATAACAAGAAAGCGTGCCTATCTCCAGGCGCACATGTGGGAAATCAGATGCTTTCATCCATCCAGCTGCTTCCTCCGTTTGAGAGATGTGCAGTGCTGTCTCTGCGTAGGGTAAGATGACTCCCTTGGGTGGGCAGAGTAAAGACACTGAGCGAGAAAACGTCACCTGGATCCTTGCGCCAGTTCGCTCATTTATCACACGTGCATACGCTGAAAAAACCGCATCTCTGCAGCCGCTCCACAAACTGTTGGTGCAGATGTAACATTTTGAACATATTCTGGTCTTTTTGATCCAGGAAAATATGATTCCAAGGTGCAAAATGAGGGAACTGGTCCAATAACGTGGACTTTCCCTGTGAGGTCGGTCCACAAAACCTTTTAAGTAAGGCCCATTTCCTTTTCAGTTGTGTTGTAAGAAT